CTCTATCTATCTATCTATCTATCTATCTATCTATCTATCTATCTATCTATCTATCTATCTATCTATCTATCTATCTATCTATGTTGTTTGTCCGCCTGTCTGTCAATCTGTCGTTTAGCCTTTCCTGTTAGTTTACATGTACTAAAGACATGGGCAGTAGAAAACAAACATTATATTCAGAGTGTGTGGTTTATGGGTGCTCTGGTAGGGTTTGCTCATTTTCTTATCAAACGTCTATCCTCTTTATACCTCCTCCTCTTTTTTATATGTTACTCTCTTGTCACACCTTCAATCTTTGGTACTTATATGACCTAAATGAGTTGCAAATCCCAGGAAACAATTACTGAAACAAATAATATCATATTCAGGATACTGTTTGAAGTTAGCTATGCGTCGTAAAAAGTCAGAAACAGTATTGTTTAAAAGAGAAACGTTCTTTCAAGTTTTAATTTCAATAGATAGTGGAAGGTAGGTTGCAAACGTTGTACGCCTCCATCGACATAATTCATGGCATTAAGATGACAGGGCCTCTCTTAGTGGGTAGGCCTACTGGTACAGTGTTTTCGCAAAAAGTCGAAAAGACGAATAATCAAACTCCTGTCTTTTGCCCATCTGTAAAGTCATTAGCTTCGATACGATTTTTCTTTTCACTCCCTTTGAATTTACGGGGGGAGGTTCTCTTTTTTAGGGGGGGGGGGGGAGCGGTATTTTTATTCTTTCATTAAAGATCAGCAGTTGAATTGTAGTCAATTAATTTGTGATTAGTACATGTTCTTTTATCAGAGGCTGAGGTATTCCTAAAATTCTTTAACAGTTTGTTCCTTGTGTCATCTCCTAGATCTTTGCAACGTATGGTTCGCTGGGCCATTTAGAAGCAACTTTTCTGTCGAATGGAGAGTTTAATTTTCACCAGGCTCTGTGTTGAAGGAAAGTGTGCACAATTATTTGTTCTTTTCTCAAGACGACTTATCCTCAATTCTCTCTCTCTCTCTCTCTCTCTCTCTCTTTCTCTCTCTCTCTCTCTCCCTCTCTCTCTCTTTCTGTCTCTCTCTCTTTCTGTCTGTCTGTCTGTCTGTCTATCTGTCTGTCTGTCTGTCTGTCTGTCTGTCTATCTGTCTGTCTGTTTGTCTGTCTGTCTGTCTGTCTGTCTGTCTGTCTGTCTCTCTCTCTCTATCTCTCTCTCTCTCTCTCTCTCTCTCTCTCTCTCTCTCTCTCTCTCTCTCTCTCTCATTGTTGATAGAAGTGTAACACCACGGCTATTATATCAAGTGCTTGATTTCACTGAAAAAGATTCCGAGTAGACAAGAGATAGTTCGAACTCGTCTATTATTTTATCATTTTACTTCCCTTTTTTTTCTCTTATTTTTATTGCAGTTTGTCTTTTCAACGCATCAACTCAATATAGTTAGACCATTAGAAGGTGGGTTTCGATCTTGCCTGCCAGGGCCAATCAGGGCGTGGAAGGATGCTACTAGACGTAGTAGTAGTTGTAATAATAATAACAACAACAATAATAATAATAATAATAATAATAATAATAATAATAATAATAGTAGTAGTAGTAGTAGTAGTAGTAGTAGTAGTAGTAGTAGTAGTAGTAGTAGTAGTAGTAGTAGTAGTAGTAGTAGTAGTAGTAGTAGTAGTAGTAGTAGTAGCAGTAGCAGCAGCATCACGCGTTACTTAAAAAATGCCCTTTTTATACATACAGGGAGATAGCTGATTAAACATTAAGTATTTCGGTCAAGGCAAAACAAAGTGCAGGAATATGTTTTTCTTTTTTTTTTCAAAAGGGGGGTGTAATGCAATTTAATTGGCGTCGTGTTAATGGACCCAGGAAAAGATAAAGATACAATTCCGAGGGGTCGGGGGGTGGGGGGTGGGGGGTGGGTGGGGTGGAGCGATGTGAAGGACAGGGATAATGGGTGGGTCTGGAAGACAATGACAAGAAATGCAAAAGAACAAAGAGCTTTTTTAGCATGTTCATACTTTTTCATTGTCTTCTGACCAGGGTGCAGGAAGGTTGAAGGAGATAATATATGGATGAAAATGTTGTATAGATGGTATAGAATAATCACAGCAAAAATTCTGCAACCAGGATAAGAAGAGAGGGAAAAATGATATAAAAGCAAATTAACGTGAACATGAAAATGGAATTACGGTAAAAGAACGTGATTGCTGCTTTGAGAAGAAAGAAAGAATAAATAAATACGAATCATT